CTTCAAGTTCCTCTCTCTTCAGAATTCCTGCCTATCCTCTCCTGTCTTCCTATTGACTGTTCAGTTTTTTATTAAAACAATTAAAGGATGCCTTAGGCTACTGAGGTAAAACAAAGACGTATCTTCGCAGTGTATAAAATGATTATCTGACAAGAAATTGTAGTTTGGGGTTCATAGTGTCATGGTAATACAGTCTTTCATGACCAGAAGATCAAAGTAGCATGAGATTGAAACAATGGATCATTGCACCCTCAATCAAAAAACAGCAATAGCAGAGAGTTGGGCCATGCTAGAAAGTCTAAAAAGCCTATTGCCAGTAACCAACTTCTCTCAGCAAAACTTGCACACCCTAAAAGTTCCATGAACTTCCCAAATATCAAAAGCTGGGACCAAGGATTCAAACCCAAAATTCCCACAGTGAATGTTTTCCATCAAATTAAAACATTCTAGCCAAGGACCCCATATATTCATGATCTACTTGATGGCAAGAACATTCAGTATAAGTTTAATGTTCCCACTCTCTTTGTTTTACTTCACAGTATTTTTATTAATTAATAGGTACGTTCACATATGAATCCTTACTACCCTCACTTTCCATCACTTCCAGGTCTGCCTTTTCCACACTTTTCCCCCAAAGAAAAAAAAGAAAAAGAAATTTTTTAAAAAGTCCAATTTGGAGCATTGTCAATTCCTGGTGCCCAGTCTTTTAAAGAAAACAAAGTCCTTCCCCACCACCCCTTACAGAAGTCATCAGTTGTGGAGGGATATACTTCACAAACATCCTTTTTACAACCTTTAAGAGTTCTCTTCAACGACTTTCTTTCTAGGCTATTACTTTTTTGGAGACTGAGGGTAATGATTGTCACAAAAGCCTTCTATGGCCCTCCTTCTCAACTGTTAGTCTGCAGTCATCAATATCACTGCAAAAGAGCTTTCTTGACCTTTACGATCAATAGGCAGCAGCATGGATAGTGCTTGGACTTACACATGGTTCCAGTGACAAAATGGACCCTGGACATCCACATATTCTTTGGTATCAGCAAGTATCACTGACCTCAGCATGGTCTTCAAAGGCAAAAGAGACCACAAACATCAACATAGTCTGTTGTCACTGCACAGACCAGGGACACTATCACAGCCCTGAGTGGCAGCTCTACCCATGGACATCAACACACAGATTCAGGTTGCAGCCCAGACCATGGACATCAAGATGGCCTTAAGTAGTAACACAGGCTACAGACATCAGCATGAACCCTGGATGTAGTAGGACTACAGAGCCAGGCACAGCAAGGCCCTGAGTGGCAGCATGGGACATGGACATCATTATGACCTCAGGTGGCTTCATGGACCACTGATATCAGCATGGCCCCTGGAAGACAATGTCCACAGACATCAGGTTAGCCTCAGGTGGAAGTCAGACCAAAGATACTGTATGGCCCTGGGTAGTACCTCAGGCCAAGGACATTCACATGGCTCCTGTTTGCTGTATGACCATGGATAACCATATTAACGTCTGGCTTTGAAACAGCCTGGAGCAATGATTTGCAGCTACCAAAGTGGTCTCCAGGTTCAGCATAGCCCATAGAAGTCTTCTAAGGAAGTTCAATCCAGATATATACTATTCTTCATTTTGAGCATCTTTTTACTTCTTAGAACCAGGGTGGTCTCGCAGCTCTACAGTGTGTTGGGGGATGAGTCAGAATGCTAGCTTCATTGGCTGCACACACCCCTGTTAGCCACACTCAGGAAGGACACATTCCCAGTCAACTGCAGTGATGTAGGAGTGTCTTCTATTTATCTGTTGCTTTCATTGGTTAATTAATAAAGAAAACTGCTTGGCCTGGTAGGTCAGAACATAGGTGGGTGGAGTAGACAGAACAGAATTCTGGGAGGAAGAAAGCAGAGTCAGGCAGATGTCATGCCTCTCCTCTCTGAGACAGATGCAGGTTAAGACCTTTCCCAGTAAGGCACCTCCTCGTGGTGCTACACACATTATTAGAAATGGGTTAATCAAGATGTGAGAGTTAGCCAATAAGAGGCTACAGATAACAGGCCAGGCAGTGTTTAAAAGAATACAGTTTCCATGTAATTATTTTGGGTAAAGCTAGCTGGTGGCCAGGAGCTGGATGGCAGGAAGCAGCCTGCAGCTCCGTCTACACTGCAGCCCTCCCTCACACCCATCACTGTCATCAATTCTCCAGTTCCTCATTTCTCCAGTGCTCACCCACAGCCCCATTCCTCGAATGTTCCTACCTCTTGCTCTCACACTCATTTGTCATCCTGGCACAGTATTTTTTTTTTGTCCAGACACCTTTACATGTAAATATTCCTCACTAAGAGTCACTAGTCTGGTTTGAGGTTTATGGTTTCTGACACCATGAACACTGGACCATTGCTGAGACTTATCTCAAATAACCTTCTGTTTGTTGCCAAGAATCATGGTGATTTTGTGACAAAACAAGGCATCTAGGGGCAGTTTCCATGGGAGCCTCAGTCTGCTGCACACCTCCCCATCCTCTATGTAGGCCTCCCTGTGGCTTGTCAGGCTTGACTTTTGTGTTTATAAGCTGCAGATAGCATAGCTCTCTGTCTCCCAGCAGGGCAGGCAGCTTAGTCTACAGCCACAGTGGCTCCATGCTGGGCGATGACCAATGGGCCCCTGACCAGTCCTGAGCACAGAATCTGGAACTAGATGGCAGTTGAGTTGGTCAGCATAAGGACAGGCCTGTCTCCTAGGACACCAGGAGGGAGTCTGTTATTTGGGACACCACCTGCCCAGACCTATCTTACCCCCAATGTTTAAACTAGTCCAAGAACTGGTCAAAAGTCAAAAGTCTCATGGGAGAGTCTTAACTAATGATGGACTCAAGGTGACTTCTTTTACTTTGTTTTTAAAATTCATTTATTTTATAAAACAATCTTATTCATTTTACATACTTATCGCAGTCCCACTCTCTCCCCTCCTAGGCAGCTGCTTTCTAGGATCAAAAACCAATTTTTTTCACTATAAGCATGGGGTCTCTGATTTCAAAAATATTTAAACAAGTTGGAATCTTTATTGGTGGGCTTTTTCTTCCCTCAAGGCACCTTGCTTAGTGTCCCAGTGCAGAGGATCAGGTTTCACTTTTATGCTTTAATGAAACTAATATCTTCACCAAATACAGATGCTGCATACATATGCCTTCTTGTTGAATAGTTAATTCCTAGTTGCATACTCTTTACTATAGTCACATTTTCTTACCCAGGATATCTCTCTCTCTCTCTCTCTCTCTCTCTCTCTCTCTCTCTCTCTCTCTCTCTCTCTCTCTCTCTCTCTCTCTCTCTCTCTCTCTCTCCTATTCTGTTCTATTTATCTGAATAAAAATAATGATATATAACTGCAGCACAATAATTTTATCCTAACTTAAAAGTTTTACTATGGAATATATTAGGCCAGTACTTTTCAGTTCAGTCTAAATCTACTTTTTAGAGGCACCATGAGATTCTTTGCCACAGTATACCCAGAGAGACCTCTATGTTACCCATATTCAACTCTATAACATCACGAGACAGACTTAAAAATCCAGTATCTTTTTTCTATCTCCTGACATTCCAAATTCCAATTAGAGTGGTCTATTAAGTTCTGCTTGTAGCAACTGTGGGTTTGTCTTACCCAAAGTTTCTAACTCGTCAGTCCATGCTCCTGCTCCAAAGGTCTTGCAAAGGCCTAAGAACCACAAGGTAAAGACACTCACAGCAAACACACTGACATGTGCTGGTCTTCTGTCAGAACCACTTTATGTAAAAGGTAAAACACGGATTAAGGTTTGCAGTTCCTGGAGACTACACTTCCCATGACTGAGACTAAAGCAGTGGCCACATTGTGTACACCCTCAGGAAGCAGAACAAAAGTAAGAAGGGGATGGGGCGATAGGAATTTATGGCCTGCTTGTGCTGATGCATCTCCTTCAGCAGGGCAGCACCTCCTAAAAATTCCATAGTCTTCCAAAACAGAAAGACCAGATGGGAACTAAACGTCCAATGTGAGAGCCATTGGGCCTTTTCACATTCAAGGGCATTCTTGTTCCTTTTCCCTTCAAACGTCTCTTTAAATATTACAGTCATGTTTTCATGTATTCTACATGGTGGTTTTTGCATCTTACACGGTTCACCCTGTTTCCCTCTTTCTTATATTGTTTCAACACCCAGAAAAAATATAAACTGTAATGACAAGAATATTCTAGAATGACACCATTGACTTCATGTGGCAAAAGGCATGATTCACAGTTCACCTGCTCATGAGATGTATTTGGAGATCTTTGCTAGAAGATGCACCCTTCTCTGAGCCACAGAAATATACGAAAACAAAAGAAAGATATAGGCAGCAAAACGACAGACACTTTGTAAGAATTTTAAACTACCTTCTTACGTTCTATGAAAAAAAATATGTTTATTGTAATTTTTAGTACTTTAAGAAATTTCATGGATGTAAAATAAATATTTTTGTCTATCAGATAACTTGTAAATAACAGGAAATGCTACATTTAAGTACTTAGGTGTTATTCTTCCTTGTCATATGAAAAATACATATTACTTACATTTGTACTGTTAATACAACCACAGATTATTTAAAAGAAGATTGCTGAGGTAAAGATTAGGAGTGAAATAATATGTATTAAACCAATCATTTATGCACCTGAATAGCTTTTTGATAAAAATAAACTCAAAGAATTGTAATAAATATATTAAACCAAATTTATTAATTTAGTAAATAATTAATTTAATAAAGGAACTTTCACAGAGAAGTTGAATTTCAAAAAAGACAGGGATTAGATATTAAAGTACTTATTAACCATTTTATAATAATGTGACTAAGAAAGACATTCAGTTTCACTTCTTATTCTTTTAAGGAGAAATAAGTAAATCTTCTATTATGTAAAAAACACAGGATCAAATTTTATGTTTCACTGCTAAAGAGAGGATAGGTGATGCAAAAAATTGAAATAATAAGCAAATGATTATCATTTTATAATTCTTTTTAGAGCACCTAAAACTTCCTTGTTTCTTAAGCTGTAAATAAAGGGGTTTAGCAGAGGAATCACAACTGTGTAAAACAGTGAATACATTTTATCCTGGGTTTTACCTGGTCCAGACCCAGGACTGACATACATGAAGAGGAGAGTGCCATAGAACAAAGAGACAGAGAGCAGGTGTGCACTGCAGGTGAAGAAGGCTTTCTTTCTGCCACTCTTAGACTTCATGTTCAGGACAGCAAATAGGACACGAGCATAAGAGACTACGATGGTCACAGAGGTGCTGATTTGTATGGAAGAAGCAATAATAAAAGTCACCAATGCATTAAGTGATGGATCAGTGCAAGAGATTGTATAGAGTGGCAAGATTTCACAGTAGAAATGATCAATAATATTAGACCTACAGAATGTTAATCTGGATAATAGTCCTATAAGAACTGCAGGATTTAGAAAACCAATTATATATGACATACTGATTAACACAGTGCACAGTCTTTTAGACATCACTACTGTATAGTGCAGAGGATTGCATATGGCCACATAGCGGTCATAGGCCATTGCAACCAATAGGAAAACTTCTGTGGTTGCACTGAAACAAAAAAAGTAATATTGGGCCGAACATTCACCCAGGGAAATCATGTCATTCTTATTTAAAAATTTCATAAGCAT